TCTCACTAAAAGGTTGTATAGAAGAAGTTGCAGAGGCACCTTTTGTGGTTAACCCGTTAACTGTTGCTTATAATAGGCATGGTAAACCGAGGTTAGTCTTAGACTGCCGACATATTAACCCAGATTTATTCAAGTACAAAATTTTGTTATGAAAGTCATGACTTGGCGAGACAAATCTTTTCAAAAGGTGATTTTCTGTATACGTTTGATATTAAAGGGGCGTATCATCATATTATGATATTTCCCCAACATGCAACTTATTTAGGTTTCTCATGGACAGAATTGGGAAAGAAGGGATATTTTGTGTTTCGGGTTTTGCCGTTCGGTATATCTACCGCCGGATATATATTTACTAAGGTATTACGAGTAGTAATCAAGAAATGGAGAAATTTGGGGATGAAAATCATTTTGTTTTTAGATGTCATGATGGTTTAGGTGGGGCTAGCTCTCTTGAGATGACCAGGGAAAACAGTATTTTTGCTAAAAAAGATTTGATTAGTTTCGGTTTTCTGTTAGCCGAAGATAAGTGTCAGTGGGAGCCGACCCAGCAAACTATTTGGGTAGGCTATCTTTGGAATACATGTGAGGGTGTGCTGAAAGTAACGCAAGAAAGAATAGATCGGACTGAATCATTATTACAGTTTTTTATTACTTCTGTATGCAAGGGCATAGTTTTGTTTTCGGTAAAAAAGATAGCATGTTTAACGGGTCAATTGATATCGATGATGAGTGTTTTTGGTTCGGTAGTAAGACTCAGAACCAGATATTTATATGAATGTGTAAATAGCAGAGCAAGCTGGAATGCTCCAGTCAAAATAAGCAGTGGTGCATTTGATGAGCTTATTTATTGGCGTGAACATATTAGAAATTTGAACAAGGGTTCGTTATTTTCTGAAATAGGTGATACGGCATACGTCTTTGTTGACGCCAGTGGAGCTGGAAGTTGTAATTATGCAAACGTCTTTGTTGACGCAAGTAATGTAGGTTTTGGGGGTTACATACAGGGTGTTGCAGACAGCGATGTTATCGGTTCTTGGTTAGAATCCGAGAGCATTTTGAGCTCTACCTGGCGTGAGCTCGAGTCTGTATATAGGGTAGTACACTCAAATTTACCTTATCTCCATGGTAGAGAAGTGTTGATAAACACAGATAATAAAAATGTGTGTAGTGTGTTGCAAAATGGTAGTAGCAAACCACAATTGCAAGAGATAGCTTTAAAGGTTGATAAATCGTGTGATGATAAACAAATTAATTTACATTCTCGTTGGTTACCAAGAAAAAATAATGTTGAAGCTGATTTTCTGAGCAGATGTTCGGACAGTGATGATTGGTCAGTTGTTGACTGGATTTTCAAAGTATTAGATGACAAATGGGGAAAGCACACCTTTGACCGTTTTGCGTGTCATTACAACACTAAATGTAAATGCTTTAATTCAAGATACTGGTGTCCGGGTACAGCAGGTATAGATGCTTTTGAGCAACTTTGGGTCGGTGATAACAATTGGTTTGTTCCACAGCCAAGATTAATAGTAAGGTGCGTCAATAAAATTAATAGCGACAAATGTAGTGGTACTTTAGTGGTGCCATGTTGGCATTCGGCACTATTTTGGCCATGTCTTTTTCCAGCAGGGAAACCATTGAGCTTTATCAAACATGTATTTATGTTTCAGCCTGGAGTTCTTACGAATCGTGGTTTTGGCAGAAACGGCGTTTTTGATGGGAGGCCGTTAAATTTTAGATTAATAGCTATAAGATTTTGATATGTATAGGTGTGTTATATTTTGTGTGTGTTTTCCTGCAGGTTTAAACTTGAGACGGTGCATTGAGGATGAGGTACAGAAATCAGGCGTTTCAGACAGTTCTTTTAAAGATACCGCTGGGAAGATGGCTGATTATCTTGTTAGCTCTAAAAGCGACAGTACAGTGAAAAAGTATTATTTTTATTTTCTGAAATGGGAAAACTATATTAAATCAAAGGGAGGCAACAGTGTTCCAGCTTCGCCAATTCTAATAGCTATGTACTTAACTGAGTTAATAGATAAAAAGTGTTCTTATGCCATGGTTTCATCTACGGTCTACGGAATAAAATGGGCTCATTCACTCCGTAATCTACCAGATCCTACGGACAACTTGTTTATAAAAAACTTGTTAGAAAACGTCTAAGCGTCTGTATTCTAAAACCGGTCAACAAAAAAAAACCAGTTTCTACAGAAATGATTAGTGAACTTTGTGCAAAGTATGCAAACAGTATTGACATTTTCGTAGTACGAGATTTATGTATGATTTTATTGTGATATGTTGCATTTTTTTAAGGTTTGATGAGATAAGAAATCTCCGTTGTAATGACATTACTTTTCATGACAATTATTTTTCTTTGAAAATTAACAAAAGCAAGACTGATCAGTATCGTTTTGGCTCAGAAATTGTTATTGCAAAAGGGGTTTCCGAAGCATGTCCATACGTAATGCTACAACGGTATTTAAGAATTTCAAAACAAAGTATAAGCAGTCCTAAATTTTTATTTCGTCCTCGTATACGGTCAAAAGGTAATGGTTGTCTGATTTATAAAGACAAATGTTTGAGCAAGGGAAACTTTGTTGCACAGGTTGAGAGAGGTAGCAGGAGATTTGAACTTGGGATTGCATTCCTTACGGTCTGGTGGTGTAACTGCTGCTGCTAATGCAGGTGTGAATGATCGGTGTTTAAAACGACACGGTCGTTGGAAGGTTGACAGTAGTAAAGATGGCTATATTGCCGATTCTTTAGACAGGAGATTAGAAGTATCTAAGCTTTTAGGATTATAATACTTTTTGTTGTTGTTTTACAATCCGATACAACGCCAGCCCCTTCTTTTTGATTTTCTAAACGTTCGTCTGGCCTTGCATATGGTGTTGTGTTGTTATTTTAGTTTAGCAAAGACTTAATATTTCACGCGTTTCGATAGTAATAGCGTGAAATTATTGTCTATCGCGTTACGCATTCAAAAGGGTGAATACTGGTCAGTCGTGTTTAATGAATCGTGACTTAACTCAATATGTATATTGTAATGTGTAAAGAGGGTCATTCTACCAGACGATTTCACAGAGACACGTTGTATAAATTTTTAAAAAAAAGTCTTTAATGTTAACACTTTTAAGTAATTCATATGTTTGATTTTGTAATGAAAACATACGTCGTCGCAAGATGAGGTCCAACATTAGCGAACCGACACTTGACAAATGGACACAGGTTTCCACACGATGGTTTTTCCTGGGCGAGTCGGGTCGCACTGCGAGCCAATTTAATGTAGCATTATCCGATTTCGGCAAAGACGTATGTTGTAAGATAATGAAGGCATTTTTTAGGCAAATGTTGTCATTTTAAGTGTTTTTAATCGTTGTATAATGTACTAGAATAATCGCATTTTCTTTTAATAAGAGTGAAACATTTTGCGATGACTAATATTTGTTAAGTTTGTATGTGCAGATTTGTTATGTTTATTGGAACTATTTTTGCGTAAATCTGTTTGCATGAATGAAATAAAATATAAGCATTTGTAATTCTGAAATGTACAACTAAGAATATTTTAAAGCTTGATACAAAACAATAATTCATGTTGTAACAAACTACTTTCGGCTGCCATCTCGTAATAAACGTTCGTCTGGCCTTGCATATGGTGTTGTGTTGTTATTTTAGTTTAGCAAAGACACTTATTTCATCTTATGTAAAAGCTTAAAACTCTATTAGCTTTATGTCACTTTTTGACAAGTACTGGGGACATTTTATGTCTCCTAAAAATAGAATTTGTTAAACATATGCGTCGTTTTTTTGTTGTTTTTTTTTCTTTTTTAAGAGTCTGTGTTGAAAAAATAAAGGTAGTTTACTGTAAATCAAGTTGCATTTTGACTTTCATACGAACTACTAAATCGTTATTAAGGTACTAATAGCCAAATTGCAAAGCTTAGCTATATGGCCAATGAGTAATACTTTGTTTATTGTTACAGGTTATAGAAATAATAAGCATTTGATAAAAAGAAGAAGTTATTACTATTTCTGAGACTTAATGGGCATAGTTATTCATTGTCATCCTTGTGAATTTATATCACACCTTACTTGTTATGAAATTAAAGCAGCCTGATTCCAGATTCTTGCTAATTTTCATGAAAATCTTAAAGAGAGACACAGGCAAAATTTTCATTTCTTCGTTTTGAATTTTTCATTCATTTATCTGTAAATTTCCTCTAAACAAATACACTAGGCAGTCACAGGAATAAAACTTTTCTCCTTATAAAGAATAAAATGGTGGTTCCCTAACTTGACCCACGTGTGTAAGATTAGAGCGTTAAGATTTCACAATTGTTGTCAAAGTGAACTCTGTAAACGTTAAAGCGCATGTCAAATGAACGACTTAGAACTGTTTCAATCATACAATATCAAAAGTGTCTGTTATTGTAACTTCCAGGGTTTGTTCGAGTTACGTGACTTGTTTTAAAAACTACTCGGTGATTCATTCGGCGTCTAAATTTTGTTCAACATATATAGGTATATTTACACTAAAGACCCAAAAATATATAGAATCTATACAGAAACTCATGCCATTTAAGATTGTTTTATGTGCACGGGATCATTTTAATATTTTTGTCATTAATTTGCCTTAGTATCTCTTTAAAAATATAGTTAAATATTATGAAATGAGCAAAGAAAATAATTTACAGTGCACATTGCACACATCACATGCAGTTCAAAATAAGCAATATTGGTCCTTACTGCCTTACTGTGTTAGTAACACAGTAGACATATTCCGATAAATACTGCAAAATTCAGACCTTTTATGGCAAATTACATAAAACTTATTACTTTAAATCTTATTTTTTATTTATTTTCTTTATTTATTTTTTTTATTTTTACTTTTCTTAAAATCTTAGGACATTTTGCTCAAGTTTAACTTTCTTGAAATATTGTGACTCACCCTGAGGTATGCAGTTTTATAGAAGAAGAAAAAATCAAAACAAAACAACAAATCAGTATATAAAACTTTTATTAGAGAAATAATCATAAAAGTACGTATAATCTGGGATATCAATATATTCATATTCAATATACACTGGACATAAAAAACTACTAGTATACAGCCGCGTATTTCTATCATTTCAAATTAAAAATAATTACTATATTAACATAAGTTCAATCATAGACAAATATGATTTCACTGGTTCCTTACATTGCAACTAGCTAGGACTTTGAGCGTGAAATATCCTGGAATAGGCAAAAACCGGAAGTATACATTTCTGCACTTCCGGTTCGTCTTCCAACCTAAATAAGTCGGTTATCATTCGACCTACACCATGAGCGTGTACACAAGCTCCAGATTTTTTTCAAACTCTTAATCATTTCAATCTAGTCTGTTTTTGGGAAATAAAAACTTTTTAAAATAATTTTTTTAACTTTCTAAAATATTTGTTGGAAGAAATAATAATCTATACATATATCCAAGGATAAAAACAATCATACGCTCTCATTTTAAAGTTAAAACTTATTTTGCTAAAAATAACCAAATAGAAATTCTTGACTGGTTAAAATATTAACTTTTAATATTCTCAGGCAACTCTTACTCACGAAGAATTACGGTCTGCACGCTGCTGCTATAATACATTATATAATAGTACGTAAGAGACAGGAATAAATAATTTGGATAAATTAAATTAAGAACAACTCATCAAGCCGAGACCAGCTCGGTATCTTGATATAAATTAAATATAGTATATCAAATAATAACGTTATAATTAACATCTTCCTTAATTATCAATTAACTTCACAATGCGTTTCTGGTCATTGTTGTATAGCATCTAGAACTGATGAAATATATTACTATAAGAAATAGCTAGCGGTGTCTTTTAAGGCAACTGAATCATTATTATAATATTTTCGTTTTAACTCATCACTGAATTTTGCTTCATATATATTCACTCATATTTTATAACTAAACATCATAAGTTAGTATGCTAAAAGATAAAGTTATTTATTATTTGATTATTCTATTAATATGGAATATAATTTCTAGATTTTTTTTCAGTGTAGGAAGTTATTCTTGTGACAAAATATAACAGTATAAAAATGGATATTCAAACAAATAATTTACAACATGATGAAAAAGGCAGTTGCTATTACACTACTGAGCAAAGCAAATAGTGAGCCGGAAGTAGAAGAGCAGCCATTATCACCATTTCCGCTTTGGGAACCAGTATTTCCGCCGTTGTTGCCACTTCCGCCGCTACCACGTGTGCTTGTTTTGTAAGTGCCCTCATTACAAATGTTCTTAAAGTTGCCCACTTGAAGATTCTTGCAGTGCTCTTGGATCAATTTGCACTCGAATTCCGTTTTTAGTCCCACAACATCCTCGTCACATGTCTGACTCCATCCGTTCAAGTCACATCGAAGATGTTCCACTCGGATTCTGTAAGAAATAAAACACGCCAACATACTTTAAACCATTTGATTTCACAGTGTCAATAACATGTTTAGATACAATGCAATTATTCTAATTCTCTTGTAATTAAGATGTCCTCCTTTTCCTTTACTCTCAATTTTGGAAATGAAGAAAGCGTGCTTTAATTTGCATTTATTTCCTCACAAAATGACTCATTCCCCCAACAGCAAAATTAGCAACATATTGCCGGGTGATATTCAATAGTTGTTATTTTCCATTTTAAAATAAAGTCTGTCAAATACCGTAACAATATCATGACTTATCAATTTATAACTTTACTTTAAACAAGTTACAACTTAATGTAATCTTAATTATTTGGCCGGTTATAAATTGTTTAACAGTAAATATTTTCAAAGGACAGGTGTCAAATATACTTACGAGCAGAAATCTCTGAAGTAAGAGTCTGGAGATAGATTTTTAGTCACTTGTTTATCAGCAAGGTTCATCATCTTTGATTCAGTGTTGGAGATACATTGCTGTACCTGAGAGTTGCCATTAGCGAAACATCGGATACTCTTACTGTATACTGTAAAAAGAAAAATCTTAGTAAGTTCTCACACAAATCTAAATATTATTATTATTATTATTATTATTATTATTATTATTATTATTATTATTATTATTATTATTATAATCATTATTTATTATTATTATTAGAACGTTGAAGTTAACAACGGTACTGAAGTAATATATTATCATAATCATAGTCACTTTTACCATAGAACCATATATTGCATATTAATATAAATTTATATTAATTTAAGTCTCAGCCTTTGGATTTAATGGATTCACAAATAAACCCAACTAACTACCTAGACAAAAAAGAACTATTTGAAAAAGCCTGAACCATTTTAAACTACATTTTAATCGTTTTCATGACGTCATAGAATAACTTATCAAGGAAGATGTGAGTTGGCATGGAGGGTCGTCAAAAAATAATAAGAAAAGAAAGAAAATCTTACATGGAAGTTCACGACAGATAAGGTTCACGGCGTTTTCTAGGGACGCTTGTTGATGGCCCCAGAATGCCAGAACTTTTTTAGCGGCCGGGCACGACTCTAGAACACTCCTCATACATCTAAACACGCCGTCCTTTGACCTGGAAATATTTATATATATAATATCTACATACATGTATAACTGAATCAATGAAAATATATATATTTTTTTTAATTTTCCAACAAAAGTAGATCTTTGTTTCATGGTTTCGATTGATGCTTAGTCTGTGTGGAGGTCATTCTGTAATCTGACCATCATTGTAAGACCAAGTTTATCAAAACGATTTCCTCCTGCATTAAAAAAATGAATCAAGATAAAACACCATTTCTTCGCTCCATACGTAAGCGAGCCAGAGTGATTAAATATTGTTTGCAGATACAAAATGTATATGATAATCTGCTGGGAAAACGCATTGATTCCTACTTACATGCATAGTGATTTGGCTCTATCAGCGTCGCCCATAAAGTTTCGTCTGTCGTGTGTAATGTTGACAAGGAACATATCTGGCTCCATGTTGTATTTCTGGAAACATTTGTTCATACTTTGATGAATATTCTGTGCGCATGGTGGTTGCTGGTGCACGTGCATTTCAGTGTCACCGTCAGGGATGTAAACCTCTGTAATTATGTAAACGTGTAATAATGTGAGAGTGTAATGATATAAATACTACATAACGCAAATATGCCATAATGTAATCTTGTAGTACAATAAGGCAAATATATCAAAATATTAAACGTCAGTAAATGTAAAGATGTAGTACCGTTAAGGTTGAATTTAAAAAATGTAATACTAATACCATACCAGACAAAGTACTAGTAAATGTGTTACGATTCAAATTATTTTAATAAATCAATATGTAAACATTGGAATATTAAAAGATTGTAAACGTGTAATCACAACTGTGTACGGAATTTAATATAACTATATATTCATGATTTAACTGAAATATGAGGTTATTTAAAATTTCATCAGATAGAAGCCGCTCAGCAAGAGCTTATGTAGTTTTATGTAGCATGTACAACATATGTAAATGATAGCGCATGAAATTGTTTATAAGAAATAATATGATTAGACTTAAAAATAAATTCACATTATCAAGATTTTTAGTCATAAAAATATCTTTTAATTGTTATTTATTTATTTATTTATTTATTTATTTATTATATTTAAACAGTGTAACGAGCAATATATTTTCGTTGATTAAACACTTTACTTCTTTATTTACAGTTAAAAGAACTGTTGTGTTTCACGACTTTCAAAAATAAAATATGTAAAGAAAAGAAAAAGAACAACATAAATAAAATAAACAAAATATGAAAGATATTTCAAAAGTACAAGATTTGAAAACGACTATACATTATAAAGTAGATTACATGTATACCCAAATGATGATAAAAGAAGGAAAGAACAAAAATATAGCATGTGAAAAATAAATGTACGTAACCTGATTGTATGTTTATATAAAGTATTCATATCGAGTAAAAATGAAAATATTCTTCCTGAAGGTTTCATTTATAATTTTTATGGTAACTATTTGTGCGTAAAAATTACGTTTTTTAAACGATATGTTTACATTCTAAATTTAATACATAATATTACAACTAAATGATTACAAAAAATTGTTCGATAAAATACCAATTAAAAGGAAATATTAATTAATAAGTAACTAAAAATTAAATAACTTTGTGTCAAAAAAAATCTAGAAAATGTCTATTTAAATGAACAAACGATTGTATTATAAATACCAAATAACATTGACACATTATTCACATTAATTCATACAACTAAGGCATATAGAGATAAAATATTTAAAAAAAAAATTTAAAAAAGAAGGGAGAGAGAAAAAAAGTTACATAATTATATACGGTTGATTATATGCAATTAATAGCCTAATAAGTATAAATATAAATAAATAGAAACATGCATAAATTAAGAATATTTCTCTACCATTTCCTTCAAAGTCTGCAAATAAGCAAAGCATGGTTTAAAAGCGTCAAATATACGTTTTCATTTACCTCATTATTGTAAAGATTCCTGTCTTTATTTTTATTTGTTTTGCTGTATTGTTCTCTTTACGTATCATGGCATTACTTACATTAAAGGGTATTATTATTTACGTTTAAAAAAACAAATATCGAATCAAAACATCATGATCGACTTGTAAAATAAATATCGAAATTTAATAGATGCTGTGACGAAATAAAACTAAAGTAAATATAATTGTAACAAAGTGAATAAATATAGAAGTTAGATATATTAGTTTCTTCATACAGTAAAACATTTTAAAACATTAATCCTTATAAGGAATTGATTTCTTTTTTTAAATGACAAAATTTGTTTCAATGTCAACTTAAGACGTAAATATAATGTATACACGAAATTAGTTAAAAACTTCTTTTCATGTAATAGTTTTTGTTAGAACATCATTTATCTGTATCTAATATATATTTAAATTTTTATTTTTGTTTTTCCTTTGTTATATTCCTTAAATAAAAGCTCTGTGTGTGCAATAATTGCTGCGCTGTACTGGCAATTCGCGTACATGTGCATATCAAGTGCGTTTTTATTCTATCCGAAAACATGCAATAGTTTACCGGAAGTTACTTACCGGTGTTAGGGCAGATTACGTCGATGTTGTCTTTGTGTGAGTTATAGCACCTTGATGGAATTAGTTGACATTCAAATTGATTCTTAAGATCTACTGCAGCTTTGTCGCATGATGGCCATGACTTAGAATCACAAGCAACATGCTTTACACGAGCACTGCAAATATACATACAAAACTTTCATTGAATTTTAAATAAACATAACAATAAAATTAATGCTAAACATTAAAAGACAATTAGTAAGGTCTATTTAGGGCGATTTAAACTACAACTGAATCTAGAATAACATATCAATCATAAAATAATTTTTGCAGGAGGTTGTATTATTTTGAAATACTTCTCAGCATATATAAGTTAGTGACTTCAAAATGGACGAAATATCAAGCAACTATTTTATTGTATTTCGAAGACAAATTTAGACTAACGTGCAAAAGTCTTGGAAGAAACCATCCATGTCAAGTTTCTGTGTGATCTGTTTGGTTGACATGTCTGTAATAGCCATGGTCATATCCTCCATACACTGCTTGGCGTTGTCGGTAGGGTTCTCGAAACATTCAAGTCCGGCAAGATAATCTGTGGATAAACAATGACGTTGACGTTACAAAGTCATGCAGTTAAATTTGACTCTATTTAGCTTGTTGCAAAAAGATATGGACATGAATATGTTTTTAAAGTAAAAAAAAATCATAAGATTATACATGCTGATTGGATTATACTGTATTGAATATTTTCCTTTCAAGTAACAAAAACATTACTTAACAACAAGTAGATTATAAAATAATATTATGCCACTGCACACTACACCATCAGTTTTTGAAAAAATAACAATGATGGGTGAAAAGGCCTCTCGTCTTAAGGAAACATTTTGTTTAACAAAATGAAAAGCATAACTCGGTTGTAAATGAAAGTACAAAATGATACCGGCATCTATGAAACCCGATAGACATATATGGACATATAAACGCCAAACCTTAAACTCTGTTTGTAAGATAATTGATATTTGTCAGAAAATATACCTTTATCAAATTCTAGAAAAGTATTTATGATAATATAAAACCTCATACCTGGAATATCGTGGCACAAGAGGCCAACAGCTCTCTCCATGCCGTGAAGATCGAACCCTGTCAGTGAAAGTGTCTGTTCGGCACCTGGGCACTGGTGGATAACCCCTTGCATACAGGTAAACAAATCGTGTTTCTTACTGAAAATAAAAACAAAACATTAATGTGTTACTGTCTAAAATGTTTACTAATCTTAGCAAATGTAGGCTTGAAATATTGCCATTATATTGTACTTACATGTATGGACAACATGCGTAATACTTTGATAAGGTTAATTAAATAAAAATTCTTACAAATGTTTTAGATTTACACTGTTAGGTCAGTCAGTCGGAAAATGCAATCTTCCTTACCTACAATAAACCTTGGCCTCTTCTGTGTTGGCACCGATCAACGCACCTTTGTGGTCTGTGGCGTTGCTAAGGTAAATTTCTGGGGCAAGACCAACTTTACCAAAACATTCACCGAACTGTTTCTGGAGTGTCAAAAGGCATGCGCCTGGGATTGCTACAATAATTATAAAATGTTATTAACATAGTATTACTAGTTTTTCTAGTATTACTGTACAAAAACTATATCCCGGAAACCGCCGACGAGTTGAATAGATTGCTGTATGGATGCATAAACACAATCAATCTGATCTCCTACGCAGTGATCTCCCCTTATGAGAACAGAGATCTGCCAAGGGAGGTAATCACTGTGAGGAGTGATTCAGAATAGGATTGACAATTTGATCATTTTGATTTCATACTTTACGTAATAAAAATATATAATAGTTGATTATTTACAATAATAGTGGAAATCAGCTTCAATTTAATGCTGTCGAATCAAAACAAACTAAAAACGCACAGTTTAATCGAAATGGAAAAAAGAGAAACAAAATGAAGTTATCAAATAACACATTTAACATTGAACACGGTCTGTTTACAGCAAATGTTTACAGCAAATGTTTACAAGCCCGGTAAGATATTAGTTTGATACCTAGAGAATTTGTTTGTTTATTCCGTAAAGTAGATATAGTGCACTTTAGCATGTCCGCATAGAACTTCGGACAGTCCACTACTGTTAAATGTAAAGAATATTCTTTTATTTCAAAGACAAATTTGCTATTAATTTTATCTATCTAAAAGATCATTACATGGGAGACAACCTAACGCTAGCATATACTGTAGTAAAAATAATATGAGTTGTTTTCCTTAGTGAAGAGTAACGGTACCTTTCATGAAATGCATAATTATATCTAGTATGTGTGGAAATTCAGTTAACGTTTAATAAGATAAATATTTCGTGCATTATTTACTTTAAGGTTACTTCTTTCATATTTGAAGAGAGAAAAGGCGAAATTTACTCAAGCATATTGTTTATAAGTAAAAATCAAATACATAAACAAAGCAGAAAAAAGAGGTGATGAAAAAAGAGGTGATTACATATAGGTATGTGCGGGCTTAAAGAAAACAAAAAATGTTAAAACTATTTTGATAGAAAAGATAAAGACAAGCGTGAAATTATGATATGAATATTGTTATTTACTGCAAGAAAAGACATCTGTGGATTTTAACTTATTCAGCTTATATCAGAGATTTAGTAGATTGTTAGGAAGGTGGTCAAATACATTTTCTACCACGCCCATTTGAGTTAAAAACATCTTATTTGTACGAAATGATTAGATAAATTTTGTTCTCTAAAATATTGAGTTTCTCTTATTTATTTGAAAATAATTATGGAATAAAAGGTGGTTGATAACGCATCACAAAAACTCGTATTTTATCCAGTAAACTCAGCAATGGTAATGCATCTGCGCATGAGCAAAGATATCCCCCACTCCTACCCATAAAGACTAGAATAATGTGGCGTACATAATAAAGACTTAAAAAGCTGGTGTATTTCTATTGCATCAATTTATATGAAAAGAAGAAAATGATAAACGGAAATAAATGACGAAAAGCTATAAAAGTGCGAAAAGTGGCCTAGATGGTCGTGCATTAGCAACGTTGAATGAAAAGCAATTTACTTAGCAATGTTTGAAAAAATATAAGCTTTGGATGCAATGATCTATTATCATAGAATATATATTCAAATAACTTTTGTAGTGTTAAAAGCGAGTGCGTGCTATTATATTCAACATTTGATAAGCAACAAAAAGGCCGTGCATTTGTTTGTATTAATCTTACAAGTGTCGCCGCAAAATGTTGCCACGGTTATCATCATATTGGCAAATGTCGCCTCAACGCCTAGAAGCTGACTCCTGGCACAACCAGCTGCCAGAACCACATCCTTACCACATATTTCCAACGGTTTCCATTTACTACAAAACATTTAAAAACTTGGTTATTTCTGTTTAATCTAAATCACGTGAATCAGTACAGCAGCAAAATTCCGGTAGCCAAGGTGTCAATAGCTTATTCTATATTTGTATTTTATTTGACCTTTCAACGTGGATTCTACAAGAGCCGAAGCTTCTTTATAAATATACAAAGTAATGATGTTATCATTTATCATATAACCTTATAATATGCCGGACATTAAAAACTTCAGATAAAAACACGTATTGACACGTTGGCGTTGAAATCTTGTTGCTATGTGATACATATTCATGTACTCACAAGTGTCCCCACAGAAAGTGGCTGTTGTGATCATCATATTGGCAAACGTGGCTTCCACCATCAACATCTGAGTGCGCCCACAAGTGCTCGAACCCGCAGCCTGTGTAACTACACTTTTACCGCAGTTTTCGAGTGTATGCCATTGTCTAACATAATGTAATTGCATGATTAAACGTGTGAAGGAAATTTCATCAAATTTTATAAAAAAATATGTTTTTTTCCAAGTTTTTTTCAAAAGCATTTCAATATTACTAATACATTTTACAACAAACTATAACTGGACGCCCAGATTTTGGTTAGTAAGTATGTTGATAAAATATTATACAAAATACCAATATGAGAATCGTCATTCAATCAATGTACCATACAAAAATAGGTAATTTGTCGCTTTAATTGTTCTTCGTAAATGAAGAAACTATCTTGATGATTATAGTTTATATCTAATAACAGAAATTGGTGGTCTGAAACCCCTTTTGGCATTACAATGTATGTGTTCAGCTTTTTAGAGTACACGCATTTAGTGTACTTTAACCTTACAGTAAAATAAACTTACCCGCAGACAGATTTCTTGAGAGCTGCAGCATCCTGACCTGCTGGGAGAGTCTGACCATTGAGCACCATAAGTATCAACTTCATGTCCATGTTGAGTGTTCTTTGAGCACATGTGTTCATTCCATCTTCAAATGCAGCCATGCACTGTCCGGGATTGATAGATTTGTTTGTACCTGTAGTGATTCAACATGTGTTGTAAATTAAATTTGTTTCCTTTTTTGATAATACATTATTGTACTATGCATAATTCATCATTCATATTTCAATGAACTTAAAACGAAGTATGAATTGTACTGAAATGTTGTTTATTTGGAAAATGACGATATCAGAAGTAGTGACCAATTCACGACCAATTCACGACCAATTCGATTCACTAGTTATTCTAGAATTGGGTCGTCTTCTCATCTCAAGCTTTCAAAATGCATAAGTTATAAGCACGAAAGAAAAAAAATAGAAAAAGCAACTATCAACTCAAACTTACAGACTCCTTCGTAAGCACCCATCATATTTTGCAGGGTTGTGCCGACCATGATAGTCTCCTGGGGTTTACAGTCGGCTTGAATCTTTCCAATTATACCTGTAGCACACTGCATCAAACTGTTCCTTGTTTTATCACTAATTAACGAAAACAAAATAATATAACACTGTATCATTGATATAATTTATAAATATTCAGTTTGTACACAAGCTTATCATTATAATAAAATTATGACGTTATCATACACTTATTTTACATTAAATAAATAAATAAATAAATCAATAAATCAATAAATCATTTAACACACGAAACAATTAACAGACACACGAACAGTTAAATCCTATTTCAGGTCTGCTAAACGATATTTTCAGGTTATTATATTGAGGAAACAACAAATCATATACAATTCAATAAACAATATACCTGCAAGCATTAGATTTTAGCTGATCTTTACTGACACCGGTTGGTAGTGGTTGGTCGGCAAGCAGCATGAAGAAATGGTCGGGGTTAATCTGGATACTTGTCAGACACTGTCTAAACCCTGTGTCGAAATTTTTCATACATGCCGAACCTTGGCTTGCTGAAATAGGTGAACAAAAATAGATAACAATTGACGCCTGTTTTGTATTCCATCTATCTTAAAAATGTAATTTCTATTTCACCAGCATATTCGTCATCCGAAACTGAATACTAGTATCAGAGATATGAAATTGCATGAAAAAGACATTATTTAAATAGTAAAATATTCATAGACATATTCTTTATGCTGTTACGGTCAGAGAAGAAATGAGCCGCGTCACGACAAAACCAACATAATCCGGATCCATGTTGTTCGCTTACGGACCTTATAACAAGTAAAGAAACTGATAGCGAACAGCACGGATCCTGATCAGACTGCGCGGATGCGCAGGCTGGTCTGGCTCTATGCTGGTCGCCAACCCATTATGTTGGTTTTTGTCGTAACGCGGCTCAAATGTGGTTATTATGCGATATTTCATGTACTTACGAGCTCCACAGAGATTTCCGAGACCACTGACCATAGAGTTGACCGTTCCGTCCATCATACCTATATCGGACTGCTGACAGGTAGGGTCAGCACTAGTCACCAACGGTGTTATACAGTTGCTTATTCCTTGGCGATTCCTGTATATAGAAAGATCATGAATTACAGTGAAAGGGAAAAGTTACGAAGCGTCCTCATTCCTGATGAGTCTAGGATGATTCTATAAAACTGTATGAATAAATCGTGACCGTAATTCAAAATAAGAAGGATTTACTAGAATATTTATATATTATCAATATACAAATATACTTAAAATGCGGGGAAAAAAGAAGAGATAATTAGGAAAATAGTAGCAACAATTACCCGCATATTGTCTGCACCAGTTTGGGTTTCTGTGGAGCAAGATTTGGCGGAAGTCTACCACTCGTTTCATTTGTTACCAAGGAGAAAACTATATCTAATTCAAATCCCCCCATATCTCGAAAACATTTCCGAAAACCTTGGTCGAATATTGACACACATCTTGATGGTGGTTGCTGTCCGTGTACTGGTAAAGTTGTCGTTAAAGCTAGAAATGAAATAAATGTACATGTGAATATACATTGCAAAAAAAATAACGACCATTTTACGTCGAGTGTCATTTATTATATTATTTATACTCAATGTTTTGTTTGTTTGTGTCTCTTTTTTTTTTAAATGATTTGTACTTAAAATGGCTTGGTGAACTTATATAAAATATTAGAAGACTGGTTTAAGGTTGCGCAAACGGTTCTCCTGATGAACCATTGTAGTGAGACATTTAAAAAAAATTATCAACGAAATCCAAGAAACGGTCCGTTTTAGTGGAACTTGAAACTTTAACTATTACACAGTGTCAAGAATGGCGTTCCATATTTGTTTCTAGAATGATGGGTCTATTGAAAAGTAAAACAGTTATTAATGAAAACATATTCTTTTAATATTTTCAGTGGCAAAATGAATAATTTTAAAGTAAATATACTTTTATTTTAATTACACCTTTATTTAATTTTCAATTTTTTGATATCGAGCACACGGAAATTGACCCGCAGGCGTTCGTATGACTTGCTTGTAAACGGACACCGTTTCCGGTTATAAAACTTCTCGTTGATGTTATGTTGAAATTCAGATTATAAATATAAAAATAAGACAATCGGAAATGTAGAAATTGAAAAATGACTGTTTATTATGACGTCATTTTATTCTATATCATATGTTGAAGATTTCACCCAACTATAAACATGCTATCAAAAATACAACATATAGAATCTATTTTTGTCTCCTAAATCTGGGGTCGCAAACACCTTTTGCAAACAGTTAAAGTATGTTTAAGAAAATTATTCATTTCTTTAAAAAATATCTGTCATTCACGCTATATTTATATGCAAATCTTTACATGTATAAAAATACTTCTACTATATAAAACTATATACAAAAATAGTTTTAAAACTTCATATAACAAATATTTGTTATTTCATTAAATACGAAATATTAATCAATTTCAGAAGTACTTAATTTCTGAGCATTTCATTTGGCAGAAGTCATACTGAATATGTAATTTTGAACGTTTAAACAAAATACCATTTACTATAAGAAATACTATAAAAATATTTCAATACAAACTTACCTAAAGACAATAGCAGGATCCACATTTTTTTAACTTCTTTGATTAAATAAAATCAGTTTCTTATACTTAAGTTTTTTCCCAGTTATTATGCTTTAAATTTACATACAACTATTTCGAATGTACTCTCGTCTTAAAGATCTGTTTTAATTTGAAATATATATCCTTATGTTGATTATTAACACTTGATGCGTGGGGACCCCTCCTTAAGTTGTATCACTCCCCACGATGTTTCATAGACTAGTGACGATTGCTTAGGTACATGTATTTATTAAGACTCGGAAGTTAGGCTTGAAATTAAAATAGCCGCAAGATATTTTAAAATTAAAACCTGGCTTTCAGCATAAACACTACCTTAAACATTATATATCATATGTCAAACTTGTCAATTTGTTCGTTTGAAATATTGATACAATTTGTGTGAAAATCTTGTAATATGCAATAAAGTCCCTTCAACATATCAAAGTTAGGTAGAATTTATGCCTCACGTGACAGAATTTGTTGTAAATTGAATATACATCCGTAATTAATGTATTTGGGTGTTATATAATGTTAGTTGAAGCGTTCACCTTTCTGCAAAGAATAGCGTAAATTTAAAGATAGGTTTATTGCATCAATGACGTAAAATGGATACACACTTTGCTGGTAGCAAGGTAATAAATTAAAAAATCGTGTATTCCGTTTTACAGGAAATTATTTACGTAAATAAAATAAATCATTGCTAAGAAGTAAACATAACAACACTATTATTAGTCACCATGGTTTACTAGTAACTTTCTAGACAGAGCAGAACATAGTTCCATTTCCGTACAGCATTTATACAGAACGTGTAATTATTATACGGGATGGTCACGTAGAAACATTCTTTTGGTTCTAACAATCCAAGTTTCCAAGTTTATTTGATTATCTCAGTTTGCATACAAATACATAAACACGAGAAAAAGAATCCTTAATATAATTATATATATAAAAAACATAAACGTTAGAAATTATCAATTCATCGTCATTATAATATCACACAAACCGGTGGTTCACTAAAGATTAAGTACAACGGTGGAAAAACAATAAAAAATGTCAAACTGTGCATTATAATATAAAAGGTTACCAAGACACATCGGTCAACAAACATCAACTTTTGACAGAAGCCATTTTGTGGCGCTTATTTTCTATTTATATGCATTTCAACCGTCATGGAAACAGACGAAACGATGCAAGAATTTTATTATATTCGTATATCAAACCACAACAAGTGACATAGAAAAAACATTTAGGCCATTTCTAAATGAAACATAATAAAGGCTCAGTCAAATTTTGTCTGCAATATTTTCAATTTTTGACGGTTAACGAGAATTCCATTTTATCAGTCACGGTTATTTAGTTTTTCAAGGTATGTTAAAAAAGTTTTAATATTATTGAAAAACGAATTTCCCCTAACAAAACTTATTGGTGTTTACTGATTAAAATATTCTGTGTCATTTAGGATTTTACGATGCATGATTAGACGTACATGATGCCTCTAAGTTTATTTGTTCCTTTTTAGAAAGGGCAAACATGAGTTCTATAATGTTTAAAAAATGGTTTTAGACCATGATAGATGCTTATTACCTGAACAAGCAGCGCTGAATGTGAAATTATTTAAGCCGCGTCATGACAAAAACCAACATTACCAACTCTATTACAAGTAGAGAAACTTATAGCGAACAGCATGGATCCTGATCAGACTGCGCGGATGCGCAGGCTGGTCTGGATCCATGCTGGTCGCAAACGCATTATGTTGGTTTTGTCGTGACGCGGCTCATTTGTCATAAATGAAGACAAAGTCACCAAACTAGTATTTTGGTTTCCATACAAAGTATTATACCACTATAAATATTTACTGCCAAAATGCAACAGAAGCAAAGTATTATTCAGGTAATTGGCCAAGGAGTAACTTTTTGGAAATTTTACAAGAACACCAAATATGAAGTGTTTGAGAAACAGAAATAAAAGAATTTCTGGGGCAAAATGGGCTTTTAATTGATCTATTTTTATGTATCGTTAAACAAATGTTTAGATATCAATTTGTACAATATAAGTCGAATAGATTAGACAACTGGAGTAGAGCTCTATTTTGAAGGCAAATATGTGGATTTTAATCCTACGTCTAACATTTACCATTCAGGCGAAAAAAGAAATAAACGAGAGGCAAGAAAATATTTTAAAAGCAATAAAACTGGACACACACTTTTTTCTTCACAAGTATTGTTCAGTATTGCTTACCATAATTGTTAAGCTTTCTAAAGGCACATTATGCCTCAGAAATAAATTTATTTTTTGTTCTTAAGTAAGAGCAAACATTAGTTTTATATCGATTAAATAATAGTTTTAGAGCATGTTAGTTAGATGCTGACGAGCTGGAGAAATTGGTGTGAAATAAGAAATGAGCCGCTTCATGACAAAACAAACAGTGGGTTTGCGACCAGCATGGATCCATGCTGTACGCTGTCAGTTTCTCCACTTGTAATAGAGTTGATAAGCGAACAGCATGGATCAGGATCAGACTGCGCAGATGCGCAGGCTGGTCTGGATCCATGCTGGTCGCAAACCCATTATGTTGGCTTTGTCGTGACGCGGCTCAAATTTAATTATTTGTTAAAAGTAGTAAAATATAAATAAATTAGTATTTTGACTTCCATACAAAAATACTAATTAACTATCAGTGTACTAATTGCCAACAAGCAAGAGAAGCAAATAAATGTTTAGGCAATCTTCCAATGAGTACATTTTAAGAAACTATTACAGGGCACCAAAAATAAACAAAGTTTAAGAGATATAAAAATAAAAAGGCATTTCTGAGGTTTTATGGACCTTTAAGAATCATAACAAATAAATATGAACCTTTAAAGTGTGCTAAGTCTGAACATGATGCTTTTCAAGTTTTCCTGTTCTCTTAATACATTAGATAAATTATCGACTGACTGCATGTATGCTAATAAGTTGAAAACAATATTTTAAGAAAAAAATCATCAAGTTCTTATGACCCATCAGGATGAAAATTTCAATAATATATGACAAAACAATTATACAAATTCATATATAAACTAAATTGATGCAACGGAGAATATTTACAACTAGTTGTATGTTGAGATATTTTGTTATTTAACTATTAATAATACATAGCCAAATATTCAACCCGGTAATATATCTTTGTCTTCACAAAAAAAAACAACATTTATATCAGGAGACAAAAAAAAACAGAATTGGCTTCTGATAAACAAAAACAAAAAACAAAAACAAACAAAAAAAAACACCTAAAATTATTCCTGTTAATACGTTAGAGTGTCCACTTTTCTTCATTACTATAATTACAACCTCTGACAATTTTTACGTCAGGAATCGATTCTTTGGCTCCGGGTTCTGGCCAGAACGTTGTTACTTTGTCCGTAGGCTTGTAGAAATTGTACTATAATATCACACAAAAAGCTAACTAGAATTGAAATTAATTACTAATTAACCAATAAAAATACCGTATACTTTGCTAACATTTAACTATGTTGCGATTATAGAATATGATCATTGAATGATTATACTATATATGATGATGTACTTGGTATAAGTCTGAACAACCATCTGATAACGCTTAAAGTTATAATATTTAAAGAAAGTCCGTTCTTTTCTGTCCTGCGTTCTAAAAAAGACTTCCCTTATAGTTTACAATAGCTGGATATATAAGTCTCATTCCATTACATACCCTATATGAAATATTTTTGTGTTTAAAATATAATATACAGTCCTTTATCAATAGTGCCGTTTATACAATGTATACACAACTGCTGTTAATTTACGATTTTTTTCTAAAATGAAATATGTATTTAATACGATAAATTCGTTATACCAAACTATTACGATAAATTCGTTATGGCTGGCTATTACAATAAATTCGTTATGGCGTACTATTACTATAAATTCGTTATAGCGGGCTATTACGATAAATTCGTTATACAGCGGGTTCGGGTTAATTATATAAACTGCCGTTTACATACGGTCATATAACCTTTCAAAATCGTTATTACTAATAAAATATATGCATGTATATATACAAATTACTATTATACGATATTTACTTATTTACTCGGTTACTTTATATATGATTGCAAACGTTAAAGTGATATCAATTCATATTTTAAATGATTTATTAGAACAGTAAAAGAATCGACTAAACGGTGATTTTTACGTAATTTGTACCAATTTATAAATTTGACGTGCTCTTTTATCCTAATTTGTTTTATCAATTAACAATCTATTATGTCAAATTGTAGAAGTTTTATTTTCATTGTTATCTTGTTGTCATCCATCAGTGCATGTCAAAATTTTGATTTCGTCTTACTAGTAGTTTTGACGCTGATGTTCAATAATAGACATAAGATAAAGCCCGGGGGATTTTTAGTGAAGAAAAACAGTCAGCTTCCGGGTTATCTCTTTTATATAAGTATGATGATGATATGTTTTTGTAACATATGATATGTGGTTAGCACGCAAGAATTAGTCATCAGTATATATATTTCCCATTACAGTCATGTTTAGTAGCCATGCCAAGATCATGAAGATATATTTAATATTTCACTTTATGTAGATCTAACAATTTTATTATTATTTCGCTTTCAGGTTTTTCCTCAGATTAATATGCAAGTACTCAAAAAGATATAGAAATATGTAAAGTTATGCGTCGTTACCTCACCTGCGTTATTTTGTCTATTTGTAATAACCGCTCCTAAAGGAGACTGAAAGAACAAAAACTATGGCGCACAGAAACAACTAGTTTCTTTTGTGTGTTGTGTGTCCGTGCGTGCATTTATTTGTTGACCAGTTTTTTTAAAACATTTTTTGTACTAGGGAAGTCGGCACACACACTTTTTCTAAAACATTATTCAAAAGTTGGATATCTAAAGAAACACAATGTGCAAGAGTTGTTTATTGGAAAAAAAAGTTGAAAAAGACCGGAGTAAATGTTTTTTATTCTGATGATATAATCACTTCTTAGTTATAATAGTATTTTATGTCAGTACTGAATACCATTGTCCTTGTTAAAGAAGTCAGACTTAAACAGAGAAATATGCCTTGCATGTCATCTGAAATTTAAGATAATATCAAAACAAGACATTAAAATTATTATTTCTATAAATTTAGCGAATATGTTGTCAATATGTTTTTTCCCGATGATGTAGATTCAGAAATTCTGTTCAAAGAATTAAAAACTGTTATGTCTA